AGTGGAAACCTATTAAATAATGGGAATTTTGCCCACGGGGATCCTTAGCATCAAAGATTGTTAGGATGATTGTCAAGATGCCTGAGTTATTTTCCGTGTCTTGCTTCTGTTTTTGGAAGTCCCTGACATTTTGGAAACTGAATCAAGTCTTACAACATGACTCCGTGTAGGGGATTGACAAGAGTTGATTTCACAAATAAATAAATAAACCTAAGCCTCAAATAGAATAATTACAGAATTTAAGTGCAAGAGGAAGAAATCAAATCCCTAGAAAAGCTTCCTGGCTTCCCACAAGCAGAAGCAGATCTGCATTCAAATTTGATAGCCTGGCTTGCTTCTTTACAAACCTTTCATTTCAGGCTTCTTGTTAGATTTTAAAAGAGGGGATTTTCCAAGGTGGATCAGTGTGGATCCACCACCAATGCAGCTCATTTCCCCCAAGGAGGTTTCTAAATCAATTTTAATTCCAATAGGCTTAAGGAAATCTGTTTTCAATTTGATTCATTAATCCATACATGTTTATAAAGTGCCTTTCTCCCCCCTCACGTACTAAAAGGCAATAACGGTTTATGTTTCTAACAGCTCTGGCTAATAAAAACTTCCGATTTCCTATCTTAAATGCTACAAACATGTAATATTTATTCACCTCTAAATGAACCAGACGACATAAACAAGTGGAAAACAACCAGCCTTTAACAGTGCTATTTGTAATTACTGTAAAGTCTATTTGTAATTAATTCTTTACACTGTTCTTAAGAACCCATGATTGTTGGCAAAATCACACACAAAAAAAAAAAATATCGCCAATAAAGTCCTAAGTATAGAGCTCCTGAGAATTTTGTGTCATTTCATTGTACAAACCAGCATGGTAACACTTCAGGACAACTTTTAGACTTCGAGCAAGTTCTCACAAACAGGAGTAACAACATGGATTTGCTGGGAGATATCAGACAAGACTGGCACAAAGATTAGTGCTGGAGGTCGGGGCTGCAGAAATATAGGCTCCTCTAGTAACAGCTACTGAGCTGTAAGCTCATAAGGTGGTGTGAAGTGTAGAAAGGAGGGCTGTGGAGGTCACAGCGAAACACGGCTCCTCAGTTGTTGAGCACCGTGACAGTACAAGGAGTACAAAGCAGCAATTCAGAAGGAAAGCAGCAGCTTGGCTCACCTCTTCAAGTCAGTTCAAATTCCTGCCGTGTCCCTGGAGCATGACCAGGTCCCTTTTCCAGAAGATCCTATCCAACTCTGCAGTATTTACCCATCAGATCAATATTGGCTGAATAAAAGGCCAAATTAGCACTTGGCTTTTAGCAGCCTATTTTTAAGATTACGCATGGTGATAGCATTAACGCTGGAAATTACAATTTGATGTTATCGTGTAAGTATTGAACTTACCTACAGTACACATTAGAGTTTCACAGCTCTGATTTTACTTAAACAGGTGAGAGGATTTCATATATAGGCTTTTGTTCTAACTTTAGTGATAATCCTTCCAGTAACTCTCATTAACTATCATACAACATTGCCTTACCAACCAGCTCTGGTGATAACAGAGAGAGACCAAAGCTACGTGAAGGACTGTAAAGCCTGTGGCTGTAAAAACGTTGTGCCTAATGAGAAATGTTTTAAATAATCTCTTGTAAGAGAATTGCTTTGCATATGACTACAGAAGGAGATAATTGTTCTAAAAGTAAGATCCTATAAAATCTGTGACTGCACAGGAGCGTTAATGTCATGTGCTCCACCTGCAGCAGCAATCCAACCACATCCCTGGCACCAGAAGCCTTTGTTCTTAGATAGGCAGGGTACGTGTCTGTGTTTCCCACCACCACATAAAGCGATACATCTGAGTGCTGCAAGTCACAAATTCTCAATGAACACCAAATAATTATTATGCCAAAAGTTGAATTCACTAAGAGCTTGCATGAGGAAGTTTACTTGTATCTAACCTGCAGCGACTGAAGAAGCCAGCAGACCAAGCACCATTTTCATTTTCTGGAAAGAGGAAATAGTGAAGGGCACATGCTGTAACTTTTTTCTTCTTTTAAGAGGCCATACACTGGCACAAATATGATCTGGCACATTCCCCACTGCTGCAGCAATCCATGTGATACCACCTAAAGGCCATTATAAGCAACCATAGAAGAATTTCAGGCACACCCCACCCTGCTGCCAGGAGTTAGCCCAACCCAGCAGCAGGATGGTGCTTCTGCCACCACTAAATATCACACAACTCCTTCCAGACTTTTTCTTTAAGCTGTCCAGACTATAAAATTGTTTGATTAATGGTATTACAGTGCCTTTACCTCTCGATAGGCACTACATCGCAAATGCACTGATCACATACCTGAATAACCATTTCCTTTTTGCCCATTGTACTTACAGTAGCAATAGCAGTTTACATTTATCTAACATTTTATCATGTTTGATACTCACATACCTAACAAATCCTAGGAATTAAGCTTTGTATTATCTCAACACTTCAAGTAAGAAACACTACCCTAATATATCCTCATACAGCTGTACAGAGATTTACAGATTTAGCTGATGCTACGCTCTGCTGTGATCCAGGAGGATGCTGTCCCAGGCTCTAACTCTACAGTAAGCTTTACTCCCTTTCGGTCACCCCAGATCTTCAGCATGGGACAGATCTGCAGGACAGTCACTCTGTTAGGAAGCTACTATCAAACTTCCCTCCCCACTGCTGTATGGACGTGGCTGTATGGCTCTTGCAGAGGTACGAAACCTGACTCACTGGAAATACATGAGAGCTGAAATTTCTCTTTATAAAGCACGGGTTAATTTCTTGGGAATACTCAGTTCCATTGAATAATCAAACTCATTGATTAGAAACATTAGAAACTTCATGTTTGTACTTGCTACCTGCCAGTGCTTGCTGTTAATGAACTTGGAAAAAAGCTTCATGCTTTTCCACATGTCCATCACCCCTACTATACAGAGGAAGGCTCATTTGTTGAAATATACACAAATATATACAATCCAGCCACGAGTAAATGAGCACACCGAGTTTCTTTTGACTTTTCACTACATGGGATTTGAATAACAAACACTGTCTGAACTGTATACCTTGTCTGTCTAAAGCAATCACCGTACCACGAGGCTTTCGGATGGCTGGATGAGATTGGACATGCACGCACAATACAGAACACGATTAATTCTGGAGATGTGCTGCTGCTGCACACTGTCCCTTCCAGTTCCTCAGCTGCTTCTACGTGCTGCACGGAGCTCTGATCTCTGCCACAGGACATATTTTATACTTTTTCTCAGCAGTGAAGGTAATTCTCAGAATTTCCATTTGGGGGCTAGAATCAGATTTTGTGCAGAGCAGCATTCAGTTATTATGATTTATGACGGTGTTTTTAGAAGACGTATATTGAATATTTTATTAACAAACAGCAAGTTTCTAAAAACAGTTGTTTGCCGTTTTCAGAAGTATCACCCTCCAGCAGAAGAAATAAACACAGAAGACAGACATCAAAAAGATGTTATCTGTATCGCAAAGAACTGAGATTTTTGAGTTTGCCTGCCTGCCCCAAAATGCTGCTCGTATATCCAGCTTTACTTTCTTTACTTGCCTTGATGAGCATCTCTCTCAGATCACATTCCCATTTACATCAAAGTTCCCCTGTTTTGGCACAGCCTCTTTTTTATCTCAAATGAACCATTTCTTCCTTGTGAGTTTAGGCCTAGAGCAGCAATAAGGACACTAAACCATCTTCCCAAATATGTGCTTAAAATGTTTAATTGCTGTGGCTTTTACAAAAACCTAATGGGAAGATCTCTGATACAAAAGCTATAGCAATCACAATGACTTAATTAGCAGGTTGGTAGAATGACCACAGTAAAAGGTATGTCTGCCCAGAAGATGAACAGGTTATTATCAGGTACCTAGCAAAGTATGATTTGCAATACACACAGAGTACCATTTGCAACACACACACAATATGAGTGAAAGCAAGCAAAATCCTCATCTAGAAAAACATGCAAAATCCTCAGAAGGAAATGGTTAAATTATGTATGAGCAAAAAGAAACAGAATGATGAATTGAAAGGCTCACATGAGGGTCTAAAGGGCTTTTAAGGGTTCTTTTTGCTGTTTTACTACTTTTCCTTTTAGTTTGAGTAATATATATTAAATTCAGCTTCAATCTCAGCTTCATTATCTCTGTAGGTTTAAAATACCACAGACAGCTACAATGAACAACATAAATTACCACAAGAGTTCAAGGTTTTGGTTTCCAAGTTCAACGGCATTTGAAAACACAAGTAATAAAAAACATCCACAGAAATGTAAGAAAAAACATCCCTACCAAAATCTAACAGAACTCCTACTCAAGAAGCACCAGCTCACAGAATTACATTTCTCATGCTTATCTGCCCGAAGAACTGCCCTACAATCCCATGCAAACTTGTAATTATAAATCCGAAATCATCTAGCCATGCATTTATTCAGAGCTTCTCCTTATTTCTCTGGATTTTCCTCCTCCTTGTTTCTATTTCCTTTACTAGATTACAGTTAATCTCCCTACAGACAGTTAAAGAGCTCTCTGTAGCTTCACAAAATGTCAGCAAGATTCAATCTTCAGCAACAGAAAGTGCATTTAAGCTCTGGTAAGTTCAAAAACGAAGCAGAAACAAAGCCTTTAGAAGAAAATATTTATCATCAGAGACAACAGCTATCTTTTGCTAAAAGTAATTTTTAAAGTGTGTTTTCATTTTGAAACAACTGCAACAAAGTAAAAATTACTGAAGGGAAAGATAGAAGTTCCCTCTTACATTTAAAATACATCTTAATAATGTATCGTGTCAGAGAATCAAATCCCATGTTCCCTGACCAGGCAAGACTTCCACTAGACTTAACAAATTTTACTTTCACTGAGTGCATAGACAACAGAAGAATCACAGAAGCATAAAAGGTGGTTGACATAAGAGCTGATTAGAGTAGAAAATGTGTAATAATACAGAGAAATTAGTCACTACCTTTCTTTTTGGAGTCTTTCTTTGTGCTGGTTTTAACAGCCACTTGAAGTTCTGTCTCAGTTGACATCCTATATCCTTAGTCCTCTTCACACAGATCCAGTATCTCGGTCAGGCTCATTTAGAACGTCTCGCCAAGAAAATAATTTAGCCTTTCAGATTCTATAACCCAAACAGTTCATCTCATTCACTCCTTTTGTGTGCTGTGAAAGAAACAAACAAAAAGTAAGTCATTTTCTGAGTTTAAAACATGGCAGGGTGGGGAGGGGTGTTACTGGGGAAGAAACCTATGAAATTTGCTGTCTACAGACAGAGAACCCCTGATTCTATTGCCTTCAACTGTATTTGATGAAACACACGCATCTACTCTCGTTGGAGATGTTTTGGCATATCTGAGATGTCTCCAAGGACTAGATATGCCACACGAGGCGCACAGAAGACCTGTACTTCTGAACCAGCAGCTGGAGGCCAAGGATTACAAGCTGGGAAGTAGCTGGCAATGTCACAAACAGCAAAACACTCTGCAAGGATGCAGTTCTTATATGCAACAAGCTAAAAACATAAAAACCTTAAATTCAGATCTTTGCTCCTCAAACGGTCTTTCAACTGTTTTCATTCTATTACTTGAACAAAGACAAATGAGAAATGTATTCTTTACCCATACTGAGAACATGATACTTCGCCACTTCTCTTCCTTATGATAACGTGCATGTTCCAGGCAGAAAAGGATCTGCCTCTGTGTAACAAAGCTGTCATTCTTAGCACCCATCCAACATTTTTTCCTGCAAATATATGTGCAAATATGCATCCTCAAAAAAATGTAATTAAACTTTGCAGTTTCCACGAGATTCAAATGTGATGGGACCGCTTACGAGGGGAGAGATGGTAAGGTTTAGGGCGCAAGCTACAGCTTTACATAACTTGTATTTATTTGTTGGCCAGATGCACAAATGTGCTGGCTGCGAGGCCGCAGCAGTAATTGCAGAAGTGTGCTGGGGAAGCAGGAAGGAGGCAGGCTGTAATGCTGGGGGATGTAGGCACTGTAAAGGCAAACAGTAAGCGCTGAATAAACAAACAAAGAACAAACTACTACTCCAAAGTCTTACTGCTGGGCTCTCCAGCTCTGAAGGGTGAGCTGCCTGCTCCGGCCAGCCCGGTCAGGGCAGGACCCCACTGCTCTGAAGCCCCTTCTCACGCTGCTCCCTCGCTGCATGCGTCACCTTCTTGTCCTTCCCTTTTGTGAGAAAGTTCTCAGTTATTAGTGCAATTACTGGGAAGTCCATCTGGGCTGTCTGAACAGGTGCCCAGTTATTAAATAAGCATTTAATAAAGAAATTAACCCAGCATATCAGCTGATTAGCTGGCCAGAGATTAACTACAGTTAAATACATTTGCTAATGACGTTTCTCTGTAATTTAAGAAAGTAATATGCTTCCAAAATTGAAATAATTTGGACAGTTTAAATCACTTTCCGCAGCAAGGGCTGCGAAGCCACTAGTACTTTCAAATCCAGGCTCTTTTCACATTTTAAAATGCTTCAGTAACATTACACTGCCATGTGCTATCTGAAGTGATTTAATATTGCTGAAGTGTGTCGGGGTTTTCTTTAATAAGCTCTTCAAATCTGTATGCGTATTATAGAATATTCAAAGATAGCTTTTCAAAATCTGCTGAACTGATTCTGAAATACAAAATTCCCTGTCCCTCCTCCACGGAGCCTGAATAAGTACAGCACAGCAAAAAGGAAGGAAGGGGGAAAAAAAATCAACTTACAAACCAAAGCTGTAGTGCCTGCTAAATACACCTTCTTGGAATGCTTGAATAAACTAAAAGCTCTTCAGTTAACGTTCTTATTAGTTAAGAAAACAATAGAAGAGAAAAAAGCAAGTGGAGGTTGATCAACGAGAGAAAGAGAGGAAGGCAATGACCCCAAAATCAACAGATTACAGGCAGTGAAGTCCAGACCATGGCCATGGGAGGTGAGCGTCCCCCTGTGTCCCCCACCAGGGTGGTGGGACACCCTTGCAGGGACCCAGCAGAGATGAATGCCCTTGCTGTGCTGAAAGGGAACCATCCCATCATCAGAGCTGCTCTTAACTTACGCTTGAAATCTCCCCAGCAAACAGGGAGAGAAAGCACAGCAGAGAACAGATGTCCCCCACAAGGCCACATCCCCGTCCCCTCCCCCTGCACGCAACCCAATTTAATATTTGGTTTTACAGCACAGTGGGGATGCATCAGTCTTTACAGCTCAATGGCACTTACTTTGAGCATCTCTCAAGTCACAGCTGGATTGACGGTTTATTTTTCTAGAACTTGGATTTATTTTTACCCAAAGGGTAACTGAATAACTTTGCAAGAAGCACCAGCAGGAACTACCTAAAATATATATATATACATATATATATAATAGGTCCATTTATAATAAAACCAAAACAACAGCAAAAAAAAAAAATATAAAATAGCCACAGGGTCAAGAGTTAGGCAAGTTTTAGTGTCTTAAAAAACTGTGTTTGGGTACAAAGCATCAAGAATTTCATCTCCTGTTGTCAGCTTCTTCCAACAGGATAGCTGAAATAGTAGCATCTGAATGGCACTGAATATTTTAAAATAACAATGTATGACTTCTGGAGAGCTTTAAATGAGATAGCAAGGCTATATTCCCTCGAGGCGATCCCACTGAGTAATATTTTTAAAAATAAATGCATGTCTATTTTCGGACAGGTTCACGTATTGATTTACTTTAAAACCTAATCAGGTCATTCTCTCGCAGGCTCATAGATTCTTGAATAAAGTAATAGGGATCTTTGTAATAGGAGCACATAAACATCTGTCAGATCAAGCTACAGTTCAAACTGAATTTGCTACAGCGACAGTTCCTCCGAAAGCATAGGTCTTTATGTAAGCCACGTTAGTAAACTTCCATACACTGTCCATATTTCAGTTGTTTATTACCCAGATGAGAACGGCAGTCAATCTGCTCCTCACCGCAACAGCTTTTATTGTCTCCTCCAATCTAGGTCACCGTTGTTAAATACTACGGGCTTCCAACTGCAGCGAGTACCGCGGCATGTGTTTTATCAATGAGATGCTATTATCTTTGATCAGCTCTGCCACATTTCTCCTCCCTGCTCCAAAGACAGAATTTTGTTAGCTGCGTTTAAAAAGAAAATAAAAATCTCTGCTCTTACACGTACCCGCTCCTAATGATCTTCCTGTGTGCCTCGTTACTGCTCCCGCCACTGCAATGCTGTGTGCGTGCCTCAGCTTTTCCTAAAGAGGATTCAGAGCTCTTCGTTTTAACAAAATACTGACATTTTCTGTTCCCTTATTAAGTGGATACGGCAGGAACACAATCAGCGCATTTTGGAATTAACTGGCTTTTAATTCCACGAGAAGCCGTAAGCCTGCACTCTGTGTTACTCCTACACCAGCGTAAGACCCAACGCCTTCATGAGGAAGCAGTTTTGGAAATTCGCTTTGCAGTCGGGATTAGCGCAAGTTGTACCTTGCCATGCACAATGAAATCCATCACGTGCTCCAGCCGCCTCCCCCACTCATTTGTACACCGACATTTCCAGCGATTTGTCAGATCATTTGGCTCTTCAAGCACGCCTGAGCGAGCCCATGAAGGCGTCATCAGGCAACTTCTCCTGGCCCGAGGTATGGAGGTCAGACAAGACGATCATAATGCTTCCCCTCTGGCTTCAAAATACTTGAATTTATTAATTTCCTCCAGGGCTTCAAAACTTAAAAAGTCCCCTCCCCTACAACCGGTTTCCATCTGCTTATGTAAAGGAAAAGCAGCCACAGGAAGGATTTGTAACTAAGCCCCGGCATTCCCGAGGTGTTTAAGTTCTCCACAGCCCCTAAGTGGGATTTGGAGGTTCTCCACAGGAGGATGGCACCTCCCACACCATGACAAAAATCAACCCCCCTCGTACTGCCGTCCTCAGCTCTTGCTTTTATACCCCTGAGGCCTTGGAGTTCTTTTCCTCCAAAGCATCCAGCTCAATCAGCCATCAGGGAACAGCCCCGTGCAGATTTGGTGTTAAGCAAAGCCTGAATCACCAAAAGGGCAAAACATAAGTAACAGAATTATTTAGAAAGTGCCGTGATCCTGGAAAACTGAGGGCAGCTGAAGCATGAAGGACAGCTCCCAGAGAGATAGATGTTACTCATAAACTTAGCCTCTGACTACAGACACCGAACACGGAGAGCTTCCCCTCATGGCCAAGGCTGGTGACCAACCTGTAGGAAGCCACTCGGTGTCAAAGCCTCAACCTTTCACGGGGGGCACCACAATGATTCAAAATTGCAACCCAAGAGATTGGTGCAAAACCCACCGAAATCCTTCAGTCAATAAGACTTCTTAAGTGAGACCATAAAAACGAGGAAGATGAGGCCAAACAGGGAGCTGAAGAGACTGACACAGAGGAGAAAAGGAGGAGGAAAAGAAAAGCCAACGAGGGGAGATGGCTCTGTATGTACTTCATCAAAGCAAAGTCCGTAACAACGTGTTCAGTCCTAATATATGGAAAATTAATGCGTTTTATTACGCTGTCCATGCTATATGGCTGTGGAAAGATACCAGAACAATACTTCACAACCACCCCCCCTTCATTCTTCAACCACCATAACAATAATTACCTGTCCTTTGCATACGGCTGCTATTGGTTTAGCTGCAGTTATAAATACTTCTCTTATCTCCTGGAAACATGAAGCCTGTTTTCGAAAACACCTTCATACAGCTAAGGGCAGTACCCCATTTTAGTAAGTTCATTGTGGTTCGCAATCTGCCTCACTGCTCCATCTCCAGGGCATCTTTCAGGCACGCCACCCCGTCCCTCAGAGGGGCAAACAGCACCACTGCGGCTGATTTACCACCAGAAGAGCATCTCGCCCAAAAACTGACCTATAAAATATTTCCGAAGTAGGATATTTATTAGTATTCCAATGACAGGGGGAATAATTACTGAAATTCCTCCTGGAAATCACTCCGTGTGGTGGCGACTGCGGCACTCCACCTCACCAATTATTCACCAGAAGTGCTGGGAATTCCCTTCTCACAGAAAACGCTGACTGGATTAAAAAGGCATTTTTCACAGGCATGAACTGACTTCATCACCATTTTTAATGGAAAATTACTGAGACTTCTATTGAATATTACAGTTTCTATTTTATATTAGAGAGGATAGCATTC